CTGTTGTTGTTGTTGCTGCTGCTGCTGGTGCTATTGCTGTCGTTGTTGCTCCTGCTGCTACTGCTGCTGCTGCTGCTGCTGGGATTCCTGCTGCTGCTGCTGCTGCTGTATCTGCGGCTGTGTCTTGGTTTTGTTGCGGCGCATCCTCTTGCTGCAGCAGAAGCAGCAGCAGCAGCATGAACAGCAACAGCAGCAGCAACGACAAAAAAAGGACAGCACCACAAGCAGCAGCAACAGCAGCAGCAGCAACAGCAGCAGCAGCAACAGCAGCAGCAGCAGTAGAAACACACGCAGCAGCAAAAGCAGCAGCACCAGCACCAGCAACAACAGCAGCAGCAGCATCAGGATATACAGCAGCAGCAGCAGGACACGCAAGGGCAGCAGAAGCAGCAGCAGCAGCAGCAGCAGCAGCAGCAGCAGCATTCAGTTGCAATCAGCAGCCGCCCAGCGGTACAATAATTTGTTTAATGTTTTTGTTTATAGAATAAATATATTTATTTATTTATTTATTTATTTAGTTATTTATTTATTTATTTATTTATTTATTTATTTATTTATTTATTCTTACCTTAATGAGCCCCTGATTGTGTTTAATATAAAAATTAAATTTATTTTTTCTTTTTCTGTTTTTTTTTTGTTTGTGGGTGAGATGACAAAAACAACAAAAAAAACCGTTGCGGCATATTGTGCTGCTCTTGTTTGCAAATACCTGCAGCAGCAGCAGCAGCAGCAGCAGCAGCAGCAGCAGCATGAGCAGAAGCAGCAGCAGCAGCAGCAAGTAGTAGCAGCAGCAGCAAGTAGTAGCAGCAGCAGGAAGCAAGCAGTAGCAGCAGCAGCAGCAGCAAACAGCAGCACCAGATGTAGCAGAAGCAGATAAAGGTCGAGATGCAGCAGCAGCAGCAGCAGCAGCAGACCTAGCAGCAGCAGCAAATGTAGATACAGCAGCAGATACAACAGCAGCAGCCATAGCAGCAACAAATACAGCAGCAGCAGCAGCACCAGCAACAGGAGCAGCAGGGGCAGCAGCAACACTAGCAGCAGCAAAAACAGCAGCAGCAGCAACAACAGCAGCATCAGCAGCAGCAGCAGCAGCAGCAGCAGCAGCAGCAGCAGCAGCAGCAATTACGCATGGTTTGCAGATGCCGTATTGGTGTAGAAGGGCACCAAAAGAAGGAATGAGTGAGCCTATTTCTTTTTTTATATTTTGTTTTATATTTTTGTTGTTTTGTTTTATTGCTTCTGCTGCTGCTTGCAGTTCTCTTACTGCTGCTAGTCGAGCTGCTTCGGGTGTATAGGCAGCTCCAGCTAGCTGCTGCAGCAGCAATGTCTGCAGCTGCAGCAGCAATACACAACCCCATGAACAGGGACGCACCATGCTGCTGCTGCTGCTGCTGCTGCTGATGCTGCTGATGCTGCTGATGATGCTGCTGATGCTGCTGCTGCTGCTGCTGTTGTTGTTGTCGGTGTTGCTGCTGCTGCTGCTGATGCTGCTGGTGTTGCTGCTGCTGCTGTTGTCGTTGTTGTTCTCGTTGTTGTTGTTGCTGCTGCTGCTGCTGCTGCTGCTGCTGGTGTTGCTGCTGCTGCTGTTGCTGATGATGATGCTGTTGCTGCTGGTGGTTGTAGTGTGGTTGTTGTTGCTGTTGCTGCTGTTGCTGTTGCTGTTGGCGTTGCTGCTGTTGCTGCTGTTATTGTTGCTGCTGCTGCTGATGGTGCCCCCAATGCTGCTGCTGCTGCTGCTGTTGTTGCTGCTGCTGCTGTTGCTGCTACCGCTGTTGCTGTTGCTGCTGCTGC